CGCTGCAATTCCTTACCTGCACATGCACAGAATTCAACCTTGGGGGGGGGGGGTTCATTCAAATTCCTGTCAATGCACATTCCCTGCCTTTGGAGAACAAGGGGGAGGCTGAGCCCCCACCGCCCCAGAGAAAATCCAGGATCCCCTAAGGCTGTTCTTTTCCCTGGGTGGATTCCTCCAGCGGAAATGGAGATCTGCTCGGGGCCTGCAAACGGGTGTGATTTATTTTCTGCCATCCGTGGAGGCCGTAAAGGAGGATGCACCCTTGGGTCTTAGGGAGAATCATTTATTTATTTGTTTGTTTATTTATTACATTTATATAGCCGCCCATCTCACGCGCGTGACTCTGTTCCAATAAAGCAATCAAGTCAATCATGATAAAGCAGCAATGTAAATTCAGCAATTAAAAAAATTGAAAACCATTTAAAATAGTTTAAAACACAGATATAAATTAGACTCTGGGAGAATGGGCCGGCGACCGACACACGCTGTAGCCACCTTGCGGGCTCCTTATTTCCCTGGGATCCCCAAGCCTGTTGAAAAAAGCAGGTTTTGAGCGATTTCCTAAATGCCAATAGGGTTGGGGCTGATCTCACCTTGGAGGAAGGATATATGGTTGTCAAAGGCTCCTCCCGGAGTGGACCAGGCTGATTGCTCTCTTGTCGCTCGCCAGATACATATCACAGCTCTGGATTTTCATTTGAAAACACGGATGTGGGGAAGCCAACTGAACACGCTGCAAAAAGAGTAAATAAGGATGCACCTTGCTAAACTTCCCCCTTCCCTACAAAAAGTCCCACTTGCATCAGGGCTATTCAAATGGATGGGTAAGGCAGGGATAAAAACTCACGTACTTGCACTGCTTTATTGAATTTTTTATTTATGTACAGTACTTTATTGATGCGCTCTCTCCTCTCCTGCCTCCAGTAGCTTGGCCTGGCCTGGGAAAAACGAAATGCTCTGTTCCTCCTTATCCTCATGGCTCTTCCCAAACCAATTACCCTTACCAGCTTTCAATTAAGTTTGTAAAAACTTTTCTTTAAACGCTGCTTCTTTCCAGAGTTTAATTTTTAAACAGGATGAAGCTAAAGGTCGTGCTTGCCTTGCATCCATCTCTCTTGGTTTAGGTGCCCATTAGCTGTAATTGTATTCCAAATACAGGAGGGGATATTGATTGCTCAACGGAACTGGAAAGGCAACCAAGAGAACATGCTTAGATGGCTGATTTCATAAACAGATGGAAAAAGGAGGGGTTTATCTTTTATATAATTTAAATCAATGCTCACAGAAATGGAAATGCAGATTGCAAGCTACAAAAACATGAGATAGGATAATAAATAGGATCAGCAATGTACTTCTTTATGCATTTATTTTGTAAATTAATACACTGCCCATTCCTGAATGACTTTGAGTAGGAATGGATGGATGGATGGATGGATGGATGGATGGATGGATGGATAATTTTTAGAAGCAGCATTCAAAAACGAAAAGTCCTAGATTAAAAATAGAGAAATACTTCTAAAGTCTAATGACACACCCTACATGTGAGACCAGGCTTGCTGGGAAGAATTTATTCTTCAACCAATAGTTGCTAGCCAAGCTCTTGAGCCTGTATATTTTTTATTTGTATGTGTGTGTGCGCGCCTGCACAGCTTTGAGTCAGTCTTCATTCTTGGTGGTTGCCTGGATAAGTCCCTGGACTTTTCTTGGCAACATTTTCAGAAGTGGTTTGCCATTGCCTTCTTCCTAGGGCTGAGAGAGAGTGTCTGGCCCAAAGTCACCCAGCTGGCTTCATGCCTAAGGCGAGACTAAAACTCATAGTCCCCAGATTTCTAGCCCAGTGCCTTTAACCATTGCACCAAACTGGCTCTCGTATCTGTAGTGTGGCATATTTTTATTTTTTAATACAGAGATAAAGTAGCTTAATATATGCAATTTAGAATACTGCAAGGTTGCATTTCCAGCTGATCATTTGGCTGTATCTAAGATGCTGTCTGATTTGATACTGGTCTAATGTGAGATTTCAGAATCTGAAAGAACAGATACTGTATATAATTATCTAAATGAAGAAACATAACAGACAATTATTGCATAGCATTTCTGCCTCATCAGGCATTCTTTGGTTTTAAAAAAGCTTTCTAATTCATGCCCCAGTTTTGCTTTCCATTTGGCTTTCAACCTCTTAAAAAAAAAAAAAACAGTCACAATTAAAAGCACCAAACTATCCATATGCAACCAGACTATAATGAAAAACTCTCTTATCTTACTGTTGATAATCTGGTTTGTTAAAGGATTTTTTTTTTCATGTCAAAGCTGAGTCAAAATGAGCAGGCCTCAAAATTAAATGGATCTATTATTGCAGTATACACATTATTACTCAGCATTTATTTATTTGCTTATTTATTTATTTATTTATTTATTTATTTATTTATTTATTTGCTGCAGGAAATGAAAAGCACGCTTCTCATCCCTCAACATTTCTCTATTTCTGAGTCCTGGGTGGGATAATCCCTCGTAGCTTCTGAATACGAGGCTCCTAATCGCTGGCCAGAAATAAGCGGCTCAGGAGATCAGAAACCCCTTTTCTGATCAGCAAGAGGGAAATTCTTAGGAAAGAAGAGAGTGAAGATTGGGGGGTGGAAGAGGAGGAGCAGGTGGCACTGCCAGGCTCATCAACCTGAGCAGAAGCGTCCCAGGATCAAAAGGGATCTTGTGTGATGTCAACCAAAAGGAAACGAGGCATCAGGCAAGACAGGGTCACGTGGTGCATCTTGGCTGATCTCAGGCTCTTCTTCCTCCCCACCTGGAAATGGTTGTGTGAAAGACCAAGAAAAAAAAGTGTGTTTGCAGGGAGAATGGAGTAAATAGGATACACTAAACTGCATCATGTATTACCGCTCATAGAACATGCCAGTTTCATGGTGTTTGAGGATCCTGAGCCAAGTGGAGAGACAGCCTTAAGCCTGATTTCTTATCACTCTCTTTATTGTGGAAAATGAAGAACTGCTGTGCTGGCAGTCCCAGCCTCTTTAATAATAGTTGAATATGCTTTCTTGCTAGTCAGTTTAAATAATAAATTTACATTTATTTGTTCTTTTAATTCCCACCCTTTCGTGGAAGCTAAAGGCAGTGTATACGACACTCCCTACTCCTCCAACTTTTTATTACAGTGACTCTGAAAAGTTGATTGGGGGAGAAAAGAGTAACTGGTCTAAGGTCACCCTATAGGTGGGTGGGCATTTGAACCTAGATCTCCCCTGTCCAGTTCCCTAATACCAAACTATGCCAGCTTACCAATGGAACTCAGGATTTCATTTTAGATTGTACATTTCACTTTGTGTGTATACTTCTTCTCTGCCTCACTCTCTTTTTAAGTTGAGGGGGAGGGCAGGAAGATCCATAGGCTATTGTTACCTCTGAGGAAGCGGATAGTGCGCTCTCTAGGGTGTTCTTGACTACCCGAAGGTTGGACCCCTGCCCTTCCTGGCTCCCTCAGGTGGCTGGAGGGGAGTGAGTAGCCTGCATCTGAGAGGTTGTACTGCTGCATCGCAGGAGGGGACAACGTGGCTGCCTTGAAAAGCATCTCCTTCTTAATAGGCCCTCCCTGGACCCTGAGGTGTTAGACAACTGTCGCCCAGTCTCCGAGCTTCATTTTTAGTGAAGGTTATTGAAATGGTGGTCCAGGACCAACTACAGAGGAAACAGATTATCTGGATCCATGTCAGTCCAAGTCTAGGCTCAGGCACGCAATTGAGATGATGTTGGCCACTCTGGTTGATGACCTTTACTGTGACTTGGACGATAGTGCGCCTGTCTTGGTCTTGTTGGAACTCTCTCCAGCTTTCGATACCATTGGCCATGGTTGCCTTGGGATTGGGAGCACGGCCTTGCAGTGGTTCTGCCCCTTCCTTAGTGAACTATTCCAGATGGTGGTGGTAGGAGAGGAGAGGTTGGCCTACTGGTCCCTCACCTGTCGGGTACCGCAGGAGTCCATTCTCTTCTCCTGCTATTTAATTTCTACATGAAACCATTGGGGAAGGTTATCTGGGTCATCCGTACATGACTGATGCCAGCTTTGCATTGCAACTTCAGGCGGCACTGGGGATGCTGCCAAAGTCCCACCTCAGGGCTTGGAGTCTGTGAGGGTTTGGACAGGGAGGAGCAAGTTGAAATGGATCCCAAAGAACATAGAGTTGCTGTTTGTATGTTGGGGTTCTCTTTTGACACCAATGATTATGCTGGATGAGGAGGCACTGCCCCTGAAGGAGAGACCTGCGACTTGGGCGTCCTTCTGGACTCACAGCTCCTGCTAGAGAAGTAGATGAATGCCATGGGCAGGATAGCCTTTGTCCAGTTTTGGCTGATGCGTCAGTTGTGACCTTTCATGGAACAAGAGGAGCTGGTGATGGTGACTCTTGTTCTCCTCACCACACATCTAGACAACCACATGGGACTGCCCTTAAAAACCATCTGAAAACTCCAGCTGGTACAGAATGCAGTGGCCCAGATGCTCGCCAGCAGTTATCACTGTGAGCTCTGCACTGGTTACCTATTAGTTTCCAGGTGCAATTTAAAGTTCTGGTATTATGCTATAAAATCCTAACCCTACAGGATTGCATCTCCCTATGAAGTCGGCCCAACCATTATGACTGTGCTAAGGGAACAGCTGTTTCCCACTTTTGAAAGGTCAAGGGGGCCAATGTTCAGAAGCACTGTTTCTTAGTGGCAGTGCTGGCCTTTGCAATGGCCTCCGATCTGGGGTTAGATCTATCCCTACCGAGGCCACCTTCTTTGAGATGCTGAAGACAGAACTGTTCTGGAAAACATTTGGGTCATGACCCCTTTCTGTTTGGCATCATACATTTAATGGATTTTAGTCTTCTGGTCTTTTTATATTTCTGGTTTTTTTAAATTTTGGTATTTATAAACCACTAAGAATCTATTGAGTTGAGGCAGGTAAAAATCTGATAAATAAATACGTAAAATAAGCAGGCAATACATGTAGCTATACTTGCTCATTAACATAAACCAGAAGAAAAATAAAAGGACCATATTTTTATTAAGAATAACCAGATGCAATAATCTAGGGAGCCAACTTTTGAGGTCTTTATGGCACTTTTTGTGGTCATGATTGATTGGCTAGAATATCATAAAATGATATGTTTAAAAAGGAGACAGCATTAAGCTTTGGCCTGTATTCTTATTAGCCCATAAACAAGAATAGATATTTGTATGTGTGCATTATTAATGAAAGGAATATGCAGAACCACATATTTTTTTCTGATGATAATTACCACACTGGGGTATTGTTAACAGCTGAGCCTTCACTGAAGGGTTTGATGCAAGACAGAGGTTCTATGTGTATTAATGCTGTGCTGTATTAATGTCAGAAAGAATTGCTTTGTCCCATTCCTATTATCAGAGAGTCCTAAAATCTCAATTTTTGTAATGTTTCTTCCAGGCCCAACTCCTTTGCCTTTAGCTGAGCCAAAAATTTGTGTGCATGTATGTATGTATGTATGTATTTATCAAATTTATATGGCTGCCCGTCTCACAAAAAGTGACTCTGGGTGGCATATTTAGTACTACTTATGACAACATGAGAATATGAAGTTGGGAATAGCTGTATCTGACCAATTTCTTCTCATTGTGAGGGTGATTGTGGTGTTAGGAGTAGAGAGATTCATGTTCAAGTCTACCCTCACTGACGGAAGTTCACTGGGTGACTTGGAGACAGTCACTTTCTCCCAGCCCAGCCTATCTCATAAGACGTGCTTGTGAGAATATGATAAAGGGAGATTCACCTTTGGTGCCTAGGAAAAAGGTGGCACCCACATCTGTCAATGTGCCCAAAATGGTGCCCAAAATGTACAGGGTATGTTCTATTCCCCTGTCCTCCACTGCGTTCTAAGCCTCTTCAGATTGGTGCTCTTGGATTTCAGTGCTAATCACTTCTAGTCTTTGGTGGGCACCAGGTTGGAGAAAGCTGCTCTTTCTCAGCATTTAAGGACCAAGCAATGCACTGGCCACATTTAACCATGGTGGAAGGAGAAGAGCAGTTCCTGTCGCCAATTAAAATGCATATACTATCATTTGGTAATTCTCCCAGTAAACAGAATTTTTAAACGTCTGTTGGCTGCTTTATTCAGTACCCCCTTTCTTCAAATAAATATACTCACCAAGTGGCTGACAGACAGTAGACAAAGTCAGAACCACCAGAGCAGAGTCCAGATTCCTTGAGGATGAGAACAGAACATGGGTATGTTCATCCATCCAGAACATGGTTGAGAACAGAACACGGCATGGGACCAGGTTATCTGAGGGACCATCTCTTCCTGATGACATCCACCCATCCCGTCAAGTCCCGCAGAAGGAGGATGCTATGGGTCCCATCTGCCAAGGAGTTCCATTTGATGGGACCCAGAAGACGTGCCTTCTCTGCTATGACTCCTGCCCTCTGGAACATCATTCCCCCCAGAGGTGAAGTTAGCCCCATTCCTGTTAGCCTTCTGGAAAGCCCTTAAAACATGCTTTTTCCAGCAACTTTGGGGATCCCAAGGGGAGCCTTTGAGGTGGTTGTATTATGTGAGTTGACTGGTATTCTCCCACAATCTTGGTTTTTCTGTTTTTACTTTTATTTGTACTTTAGTGTTTAATGATAGTTGTACTGTTTTAATTGTCACTGTGGTTGTACACCGCCCAGAGTCACGTCCTGTGAGATGGACGGCTATATAAATTTGCTAAATAAATACATTTGCTAAATAAATAAAATATTAAATACTTGGTCAGGAAATGCCAATCAGAACAAAGGAGTAGGGTGAGAAGAAAAAACAACAGAAAAGGAATTCTAGAACCGAGGAGCCACCACTAAGATGGCCTTGTACTCACCGCTCTAGTCTTTTTAACCTTCAGGCAGATGAGATCGGTGTGACCTACGCCACCTATGCGCAGGCCATGACTCAGGAACCACAGAGATCTTCCACTGCCCAAGTCCTCTGCAGCCCCCACCCCATCATTGGTGCTGCTGTCATGCAAGCTGCAGCGAGGTTCTTCCTGAGCCCAGCTTGGCAGCACCACTAACCCAAGTTGTAAACCAGTGTTTCTCAACTTGGCAACTTTAAGAGGG